CCAATTCCCGTGCAAAGTCCCTAACCCCAATCATATAGAACGCACGGCAATGTCCTGACTTCTACCAAATAAAAATTGTTCTTCCTGGACTTGTGCCAGGCGCTCTATGTTCCTCGCCATAATTTCCATCTTTCCGAGTAAATCCACGTGCGTCACCATTTGATATCTCTGCTTCTTTATCTCCTCCAATTCTTTCGCCGCTTGGCTCGCGGCCTCCATCCTTCTTTTCCTTCCCTTGTCAGACGAAACTTCCACTCCATCCTTTTCTCATCTTCCAAAACCTGCCGCTTGAGTGGATCTTCTTCAGCATCCCACTCTTTCACGACCGCCTCCTGTTCTTCCCTGGGCACATACATTAAAGCCTCCTCATCTTCCCCCAGGGACAATCCAACAACCCACTCTGTAATTTTCTTCTCCATTTGATCCTCGTTTGTGCCACTGGACTCACCTCCTCCTCCTGCCTTTCGCCTTTCCAGCCGCCTTGAGCTTTGCTTCTTCTTCTCTCTTTAGCCTCTCCTTCTCTCTGGCCATCTCTTCCTGAATCTTCTTCATCTTCACCGCCTGTTCCTCTATCAAGGCCTTCTTCTTGGCCGCCTTCTTTTCTCTTCTCTCTTTTAGGATGGCGGCGGTCTTCGCATCCTGCTCTACCGTGTAAGGGGAGGTGCTCGTACCACTACGCGTGTCAACCATGGTGAGAAGTGCACAACCAAGTGACAGTTCCTCTCCTCACCACTTAGACTCTCCCCTGACTGACCCAACCTAAGACTGACTCAATCTATGGACCACAGGGTTCGTAGAGAGCCCTGTCAACGATGATCTCTAGCCTAGACTTTAATACTACAACTGTCACTACAGAACCTGTTGCTGACCAGGAGGCATTTAAGGAGATCCCCCATAACTCCTCAGGAACTCTTTTACGTCGCAGATAGGACGACGCGGTCAGCAGGTTCTCTCAAGACTTAGACGGGCCATTGTGCAGCCCACAGCTCGGATTTCGGGCCTACCATGCCACACCGAGCAGCCCGCCGGTCAGTACCGGTCCTTGGGAGGGTTCGTGTCCTCCGGGACAGTCGAGTCGTCAGACACAATCTTTAGCCCTACTCAGCCCGGCAGGGATTTGGTCAACGAGGCCCTATCCTTCATACATGGAGTCCTATCACCTGGACGGAAGAGACTCAATGCAGAAAGAAGAGACAGACAGACTCAGACTCAGCAAGTACCATAGGGTGAGTGTACATCCATAGGGCGAGGGGATAGGCTAAGGGCTTGGCGAGATTATACCAACTCCAGCTTGGTCAAAGTCGTGGTCAGCAGCTCCGGTCAACGCCTTGGTCAACGGTCTGGTCAACGCTAGGTCGACCCTCTGGTCAACGCCCGGTCAACCCTCTGGTCAACCCTTGGTCAACCCTCTGTCAGCTATGGCCGCCGGCACCTTCTTCTCTTCCCTTTCTTTCTTCTTCTCGTCCTTTCTCTTTCTCTCTTTTTTTTTTTTTTTTTTTGTTCACCCCCAGCTATGTCTGTCTTCCACTTCGTGTACCTCCTTCCTCCTTCCCCGGCTATGTCTTCTCTTCCTCTCCAGTCTCTCCTTCCTCCTTCCTCTCTACTTCACGTTCGTCTCTCCTCCGTGTCCCGAGCTCCGCGGCTATGGTCGCTACTTCGTCTTGGACCGCACAACCAATCTTGGATCATTCAACTCTCTCTCTCCTCGGTGGTGTCTTCAGCGCAGGTGCGTGATAAACCAATCTTGTATCGCTCAGCTCTCTCTCTCTCTCTCTCTCTCTCTCTCTCTCT